GACACTACTAATAAAGAAGTTTAATATAGCTGCACAAGTGCCTTGTTTTTTTAATAAATATTTATCCAGGCATGGCAATATAGTATTTCATAGCTTTCACAACCCATTCTGCTATTACTAAGAGTTATTTTACACACACTAGAAAGACAGAGTCTGCTTATTTCACTTTTCACATATTCCTGTATTATATTAGAGTGTTTCTTTCCAGTTTCTGAGTTTCATTACTCTCATGCCAATTTAAGCACAAAGATACGAGAGCGAATAAAAGTTAACATCTAAATAAAATGTTCTCTCTTTCTTTTTGGAAAAGCAGCAAGTAAAGTATGTGGCCTGACCTTAAAACAGCATCGTGCCTCTTCGCACTGAACAGATGACAGTTAAAGCAAGTGGGGTTATTTTCAGCTCCCAAATATTCCTTTGACATAACTTGATTTCACTTCTGATAGAAAAGAAACCAGTTCATAGAGGTCTCCTTTTCTAAAATGAACATTTTTTCTTTTTAATGGCAAAATGCATGCAAAAAGCATACGATTATGGTATTTATGTTTCCATTAAAATGTCCTCAGAAAGCTGGGGGAGTCTAGCCTACTATTTTCAAGCTATTTAGATTTACAGCAGCACAGTGCCTATTTCATTTCAATTATATTTCAGGACAATGCACTCTTGGTGGGAAATGATTACACAGTGACAGCCAGTAAATGTCCATTAGGAGTTGTCTTTCTACATGCTGCTCAGCTATGGATGTCAGGTGATCGCTATAAAACCCGTTGTATAACATCATTGTCATCTACATGGAAAACACTATTGATCAGCACTGCAGCTTCTCTTCCGTATGATGCAAAACATACTACAGACTAAAAGCTTTATCCACAAGAACACACTTCTTGAGACACTTCTTTCCCGAACTGTAAAATAAACATAGATCATACATTCCACCTCGATTTTGTTCTGTTAATGCCTAACATAAAAAGTTCATAAGTGAAAAAACTTCTGAGCAGCCTGTCTCTGTAAGCTATCAATACATAGGAAGGAGCTAATGGTGCAGGGGCAGCTGATGTGTATGTAGCTATACTGATCACCAATCACTCTCAACAGATTTTATTTATTTATTTATTTATTGCTAGAGCTTCATTTCCTCTGAGCAATAAACTCCTCCCTGTTAAGGAACATAATCTGCTTTAATTCTTTAGGATCAAAATGAGAAAACAGTTTTTCTAGTGCTACTGGAGAGATTTGCTATGACTAGGGTAACTGGAATTTAAAATGTGTTTCAAGATTCACAGGAGCTACACGTATGCATGGATTATGTAAGAAGCTCAAAAAAAAGAACCTCCCATATTTAACAGATAACAACTCTCACTGATAGAAGAAATCAAACAAGCAACCCTTCCTCCCAGACCCCACCAACATCCATGAACAATTTAACTCTGATCCAACATGAAGCTGGTTTAGAGTCACTTATATGCAGATTTAAGTCCTGGAAGGATATTCTTAAGTAAAATTTACTATTTATTGAAGTTTTTTTTATAGCCATTGCTGGTAAAATGGGTGAAGCTATGTTACTTACACACATACGCTGATGTGCAAGTCTCCAGTGAGCAAGTTAACATCTCTTTCTCCTTTATTGTATTTTGGCACTATACAATCCACTTTCTAATTTAGGGAAACGAATGGACAAACCGTTTAAGCAACAACCAGTTTCTTCTTACTGTTTCGTAGTATCTGTCTACAACTGCAGTGCTTGGGATACTTACAAATATAAAATACATCCAAGAAGGAGAATGAAGAAACAGGCATGGTTTTAACACTGGTTTCAAGTTAGGTTATAAAATAGCTTGGGGGACCTCTGCCTGACAACTGAACAGTATCATCATTTGGTGAAGTACTTTAATAGTTCTCCTCATCATATCCTTCAACTTGCAAAAAATAAAATAAAATTGTCCGTTATTCTGATGAGCAGTTTACATACTTGTCCTCTGCTTTGTTATCATTCATATGCCATGACACAGTTCAACTTACATCAATTGGTGGCATGTGTTGATGAAAATGAGAGACGTTGAAGGAATATGAAAGAAAAACAAACCCTAACAAGGCCTCACACACAGGCGCAGTAATTCTCTTGCAAGTTAAAAATTTGTCGTACGTATTCAGCAATGGTATGCAAACTATTATGGGACATTTTTGTAAGAGGCTTTTAAATAACCTTTTGGACATACTTAAATGTCAGATTTTGTTTGGCACTAACCACCAAACTGTAATAGAAATAACATTTCCCATATAAACAATGCTGCTTTTAATATGCACGTGCTAAAGATTTGAGACAGGCTGGCTGTTACCAGCTCCTGGCAGTTCAGTGCAAGGGTAACGCGCTGCGAGTGATTTCCCTCCCCATCCACAAAGGCTGGAAGCGACTGTTTCCATTTAGGTAACCTCTGAAACATCCTGAGGAAAGGAAAGGATGGCAGGGCAAAGGAGTAAAGCACAGGGAAAATAACGTTCACCACAGGTGAACACTAATGTAAACAAAATTTTAAGGATGCAGAACTGCAACCAACTATTTCTCCTCAAATTTCTGGTAGCGTTATCAGGATAAACCAGACTGCAGAGAAGAGAGCTCCCTGGAGCAGAGCCTCGTGAAGAGACACTTGGATGCTTGCTGTGAGAAGGGGCATCACAGGAGACGCCAAGTGAAGGGGGAAGGTCTTGCTGCTGGAAAGGGACAGCAAGAAGCAAGTTGCAATGCATGTGGGGTGAGGAGCCATCCTATAGACAGGGAGACAACTCAGGTAAAAAGCACCTCAGGCCCACACGACCACAACTATTTCTTAAAAGGAAGCTCAGACAATACTTTCTTAATACATCTGAGACAAAGCCTGTAAAACGCAGAGCAGCCGTCCAGCTCCCAGATGTCCTTCATACAAGTCCAAGAAAGCTGCTCTCTTACAGTAGAGGACATTTACAGTAAATAATAATCTTTTTCCATCTGCATTGCCTATTTCTTTCCAGGTGTTTCTTGCTGAATGTCCCCCCCCCCTTATCACGGGATGGGGGTGGCTCTCCTTGCCCCAGCTCTAGTCCCTGCCATGCATCTTCTCCCTCTGCTCAAGCCTGTGCTTGCACCAGGACTTTCCTTTTGTCACAGCATGATCCAGCTGGGAGAGACAGGGCCCTCTGCATGCCAGGAGCAGCCCGACTGCACAACACTACCGCACCACTCTTCAGTCCTACCCTTACGATTAACATCAGATTCCCCCGGTACGCCGTTATCTTCACTTCTACTCACTCTCTCCTGGCTCTTTTATCAGCAATCACACAGAGTTAGCTAGGTCACGCAGGTCTTACATTTCGCTGTGCCAGGCTTGCATCAAAGAACTTTTTTTTTGTTGATGTGACATTGATGCCATTCAACTCCGGCATGAAACGCTGCCTTTGGTCTAACAAAAACAGCCATGAGACTCACCACGTGGCAGCCCTTTCCATCCAAGCTGTCTGGATTTCCAAAGGCACAAAACTGCTGAAATGTCAGGCACCTGGGTATACCAGTGCCAGTCAATATAAGGCTATGGAATATAAAATTTCAAGGGCACAGATGAAGCTGTCGTCTTTTAAAATTATTTTGCTTCTTGCACTGAAATAACATACATATCCACAATATATAAATTATGTTCATTTAATATGAAAAGTAGACCTTTTACACAGTGCAATACAGCAGAACAGTGTAATTGAGAAAATAAAAAGGCAGTTGCACTACTGAATTTTAGTAAAAACTTATGCATTCAATGATGCATCTGAAATCTCCTTATTTGTCATGTTACACAACATATTTCCCCCAGTATTATGTAAAGGTACTTTTCAAAATAGATCTAGTGGAGTGTTAAATACACCACTCTCAGCCCTCAATTAAGAAGAGTTTTAGACAATTAGCTGAACTCTGCACGACAGCTACTTTCCTCAAGACCAAATTCAAGTGATTCCATTACCACCTAGAACAGAATATGCCAGTCCTCGTGTGGAGCTATACAGATCGCAAACACTGCAAACAAAGACGTCGCTTTGCTGATTTAACTGAAATTCCAGTGCTTTTCTTCTGGAAAGAATGGGGTAGAAAACAAAACAATGAGTGGTTTTACTATGAGCTAAATTAATAACCTCTGAATGAGTTAACGATACCTCCCATACTAGGATTTTAGTGTTAGTTTTTGTAAAGCTTAGAAAATGCAGAACTACAAGATCATAGATGTAAGCCAAGAAAACAGATGTATTTTCATTGTTAAAGTACAAAAAAGCTGTGAATTTTGCCTTTGGTTATTTCTACTTTATGTTAGTTTACATGCCTGTTTTAGCTTCAGGTTTACAAATGAACTCAAAACTCCATCAACAGAAACCAGAATTTTGCCCAGTTTCAGCATAAAACCAAGCACAACACAGTTCAGATAACATAACCACAGGAAGAGTATAAATCATAAGCTACAGCCCAAGAAGAGAAAGTAACTCATGAGTCAAGCTTGGGAGTTTACTCACTTGGGTCCATATTTAATCAAAAAGCTCCACCTGTTAGTTCAGGACTACAGTAGGACTAGAATCCAGGTAAGCTTTAACCCACTTACTCTTTAACAACAACTTCCCAGAAATTTTGTAACTGCTGTGAATCGGTTGGAAATGTTGTCTTCCACAACCATACCAGTTAGAGTCTGATAAATGAACCAGATGAAGTTACAAGTTTGAATTTGATTTGAATGACACCAAATGGTGACTCCAAAATTCCAAACCGTATGAAGAATGCGAAGAAAAGCAGCAGTTCTGCAGAAAATAATCTTCACCTCTGATTCTGTTACAGTTTGATTTGTGTGAGCTCAATACTTTTGCACATAAAGGCTTTTAACAAGCCATTAATAAAAATACAGTTCTGACTTTCCAATTGATGTACATTCATCTCCCATGACAAAAGCACTATAAGGGCGGATTTTGAAAGAGCGTATTGACTGACGCCTGGTGCCTACCTGTCTACAGGTGAAGACTTTGAATTCCATGGTTTCTTCACTTGGGCATACAAGCCTTCCACTGTCTGCCCTTCCCTTGGGCTCTGTGGCCGGGTGCTCAGCATTACTGTGCCGCTATTTGAAGAAGAGTCATAGGAAGCAATCCCAGCGTACATCGGGTCCGCATCACAGCCAAACGTCCGGTTAAAATCCTGTATCTCTGCATAGTCACGTTCACGAGCTTGTCTCTCTCGAAATTCTCGAGTTTTTGCTTGAATTCTGAAAAATTAAAACAAGGCTGAAACTAATTTTTCCCCCCCAATCATTTGAAAGTAGCAGTTAGCAGACACTTTAGGCAGCCCATCTTAACGAAAACCACTGAAGGGTTTCCAGCTTCAGTTTGTCATGGAGCCTCAGGTTTACCTTGGATATTGAAGTCTAGATCAAAGCAACGCTACAATCGACGCTGGTCTTTAAGGAAGAAGTCTGATTATCCACAGTCTTTTATTTCATTATTAAGTAAAACAGGACTAGCCATGGTTGTGGGTAAACAGAGTTTACCTGTTGTCTTATGCATTTTAGGACAGAAGCCTGTGCTATTACCTGACCTGACAGAGAATGGCCTGACACCATTCATATCATACTGTACTCCATCAAAACCGAACAGATTTAATGGTTCTAATGTTTGGTTTTAGAGATGAATTTTAACGTACTTTCTTGGCCCAATACTACAGAAATCATACTTCTTTCAGAATTGAAAAACTTCGTAAGGATAGGACACATAAATATTTATGTATGCATTCTTGCAGTAAACAGCAGAAGAAGATTCTTGTATGAATTGTTTAAAATGTGCATGTTTTGTTGATAATGTAAACAAACTGAATCTGGCATCTCTCAAAAGTAGGCAGTTTCTTCTCAGAAAGTAACAACATGTGTCTTATGTTAAAGAAAGAAATGAAAGGTGATGCTGTCGTGGGACTTTGTATCTAGGTGCACTTGTTTAGCTGTATGATAAAAAGTGACAGATAAAAACTGATGACATTTAGGAATCAGACAAACACAAATAGAGCACAGGTCATATTTTCAAAAGCACACAAAGCTATTACTAAAATTTGATCTGTGCTTCAAAGTTTCTTTGGCATTTTAGAAAATTTGACGTATCACACACACATGCACAGCAAACTGAAAAGAACAACCCACTCCCCCCAACATTGTCTGCCCAGACCAATTTAATGCTCTGTCATCATTGCAAAATGAAGCACTCAGCTGTCTCCTCCCTTCCATTAGTAAAATGTGCTCCTTTTTCATCTATTATTACAGCCATGGCTACACAGTGTGACAGTACCTATCCATTCAGACTACAGCTCTGCGCACCCCTGTTATGTGCCATTTCCAAAGACAGCTGGTTCACCGACTTTTAACAAGGGCAGCCCACTCAAAGCAGGCTACTTTTGAAAGTAAGCCGTGTCTCCTCTGAAAACAAAAAAAGCCTTAAGTAACACTGACATTTTTGGAAATTTTAAACTTAGCCACCATCTAGATTAGTCTTTGCAAAAAGAAAAAGGGGATGCACAAAGGGCAGGATTCGGGCTGCAGTGTAAGACATCGGTATGCCTGCAGTAGGTGAGGTCACGCCAGCTACTTGTGCAGGCTCCCTTTACAGTCCACAGAGCCATACATCAGCAGACTCCAGAGCAGCTGCTATGCTAGTTGGTGTGTCCTAGCATGAGCAGAGTCACTCTACAGACACTTTTGATGCTCTTGTTTAGGTCTTCCTTGGGAACCTGGATACCCAGCCTTGATTCTGCTGCTTAAGCATAGCCAGCTACGGCCACCTAACATCTCCAGGTAATCCTGCTGGACCTCCAGCTGCTGGACAAGAAGCACTCCTGGAGGTCCTTGTCACACCTGCCAGTCCCATGCTGACATCTCAGAGGCTGTGATAACTCAAATGACCCAGACAACTGTGCTCAAGCACGTGAATCCAGCCCTGGGCTGGTATGTGAACATCTCAATTTAGGTGTCTTCCTCAGACTGAGTTCCAAGCAAATTGTTTTTTCCTATGATAGCAAACATCACTGTAACAAAAGAAGGGAATGGGAGGATGGCCTGGATAGGTAGACCTATTTTCCCCCAAAATCCCACAAGTATTGACCAAGGATATTGGATACAGCTGACTGATTGAACTCCCTTCAACAGCCATTGCCATCTACATCGATGGTTCAGTGATTCGCATATATGTCCCGAGTTGTACCTCAGCCTAGTTGTTCTTCTCATGGCCACTACTCCTGACTTGTACATCACAACTCTCATTCATATTCAGTCACAGTGGAAAGAAAAACAACCGTAAAAAAAAAAAAGGCAAATAGAAGAAATCTGAGAATATTTAACTTAAACCAACATATTTTTTTGTATTGTGCACTTTGAAAATACAAAATTAATTTTTTTACTCATTGCTTTTGATTATGACAGAGAAAATGGAAAAGAAAACTCTTAACAGTATTCAGCTGACAGCATGCTCCTCCACAACTTCACCAACATCAAACGGGAATTGTTTTTTGGTTTTTATTTACAGTGAAGAGGTACTGAGGTTTAAATCCAAATCCATTTCAAATTTAAACGGTGTTTCTGCATGCCTATTTTTAAAATAAAAATGTATGATTTACATTGTCCTATACTGCAAAGCTGCAGTTCAGAAATGTTACCACCTTAATCACTTGGAAGGTATCTATGCCAAAGGAAAAACAGGCCTGAAAATGACCTGCCCTTGTTGATTCCTCTCTGTTGATTTCACTTCCAGTTTGTAGTCCCGTACTAATCACCCTGCGGAGGAATGCATTTGTCTGTTGATATTTGTCCTCTGAATTGGAAACCCAAAGGAAATCAGAAATTTCCTAGCGATCGGCAGATTTAATTTTAACTTCAATGCACAATGTGTTATCAAATACTGGAACGTTGGTTGACACCAATTTGAGCAAAAAAATGTCATGTATTTTAGACAACCAAAATTTCAGTGTATGAAACCCAAGCAATAATGTGGCATAGACCAATCCAGTCAGAAGAAAACATTGTCATCTGAAGTGCTTACAAAACCGAATTACCTAATGATAACTGGTGATACTGGCCTCAGTGTTACACTGCCTGCTATGAGACGTGCCAGTGAACTTATCTAACTTTTGACCAAGAATATCACATCACTCTCCACAGGTGCACACGAGTGTTCCCCGTTTCATGTTAACCAACTTTTCTCATGTCTCTGCTTATCATCTGTTCAATGTGTTTAGACGTAGCACCATTTGCAGCAAGAACATTAAGACTTTCCCATGCACGGCTCACTGAGCGATACTTGTGCCTGTTCAAGTGGGAGAGAACTGATTGTTGAAGTGTTATGTAAGTAATTACGTTCATATCCACCAGGAAATTTTTTAGAATATTTTCTACAATTGCTAATACAATGTGTTAATACACACATGTAGTATTAAAAATCAGAGTCTGAACGCATTATTAATCTTCCTGTTAATTATAATCAAAGTACCAAGTGAACATTTGCAATAAGCAGTATTTCACAAAGTATAACCTTAAAGTGAAACTTATAAGATGTCCGACTATGCTGACACTTAAAATATTCTGATTTTTTCTCTTAATTAATTTTCTCTAAGTGTAAACCACTGTGCAAGTCCTATCACTTTCACTTGACAAAAGTATAGGCATTCTGATTACTCAATATATTTTTTTATTATTGTTTAAAATATAGCTTTGATTTTGCCTTCTTCAGGACATACTCTATTTAAACATTCTGTCTCCAAACCTGGAGGAATCAAATGACCAGGGAAAATACGGCAGACTTATTCTTGAAGAGAAAAACAGCTGTCAGCTGAATATTGTACTATCCTTTTTGCAAGTATAATAGTTTTTAACTCTGAATATATTTTCATGAAGGAACCTGAACTTAATGGGATATTATTTTTTATGTTGATCCCCCTCCTTGTGTGCATGTGTGTATATGCATGATATGGCCTAACTCATTTGTTAGCATATACTGAATTCAGTATACGCAGAGGAAATGCCAGTGCGGACTATTGTGGGAAAGATTAAAATAATTATGTAAACACACTGTGCAGGACAGACGAGAACCTGGAGTTTGCTCTGTACTGCCACCCTAAACAGCAATGCTCTTGCTGTTGAAGTCCAGTGCCTGGAGCAGTGTTTGAACACAGTTTGGTTTTACAGTGTGGAGATGTGTATTAAGCTGTCTGCACTGAATTGTATTGTTTCGCGACATGACACAATAAAACTGCATACATCTGAGATTTCAGATCAGCTAATTCTGAGGATTTATGGCCTTCCTGCAGATTTTGTGTGGGTTTACCAATAATAATAATAGTCCTTAGCATTTACATAACTCTTCTCATCTTCAAAGAATTTTGCAAAAACTGCTAATCAATTTTGCAGTGCTTAAATGGAACGGAACTTTTAAAAATACAAAAGCTATCCAAAGAAGCTTCTAAACCCTTCTTGCTGAAGTGTTAATACTGGAAATGTCAACAACGTACTGTCGCGCTTTTGAGACTCAAATTATAATGTTCAGTACAATATAAACTATCCTCATGCATTTGTGTGCCATTCAATTCCAAAGCTAATGATAACTGCTTCAAATGACAATATTGTTAGCTGCAGAACTTCCTATAATTGTTAGCAGAGCTTTTGATTGCAAGCTAATCCAGCAATGATAGACATACCCATTGTATAGCGATTCCTACGCACGTGAAACGGTGGTCACAAAAGTAAGGGAACAGCTTAAGCACTGCTGTCCCCAGCAAACAGCAGCCACTCCTTCATTCACTCCTTCAAAACTCTGGGAGCGAGAGTCAGCTTTCAGATGAAGGTAACTACCGTTTTAAACACCTAAATTTAGGTGTCGACCTATGTTTTGGACTCCCAGAAGAGCTGGCCAAGATTAAGTCACATCACGCATCTGCCCACAGGGTGTAGAGAGCAGTTCAGCCAAACAGCAGAAACGTGGCCATTTTCAGGTGAATCCAAATCCTTCTCTGGGCTCTTCTGACTGTGCCAGGTACCCCTGCCTTGACCACAAAGGGCATTTAGCCATGTAGCTCAAATGTAGATACCAAATTAATCACATTAAGGAGTAATGGTTTTAAACTAGCAGAAGGTAGATTTAGACTGGATATAAGGAAGATTTTTTTTACCATGAGCATGGTGAAACACTGGAATGTCCACTGCCAGAGAGGTAGTGGAGGCCCCATCCCTGGAAACAT